CATAAAGGTATAGTTTAGGAGTAAAATAAAATTTTCTTGGTGAATCTAAGTAATGAATAGTTGAGATTATGTTAAGCTGACTTGAGGTTCTTAATAAAAGACCGAAAATCCGCACGAAATAAGTACCAATTTCCATCTTGCTTGCAACCAGTAAAGTGGGGGCAATTAGGTAGTTGTTTGACAGACCATTAGCAGATAGACAACCTAGGAATTCACCTCAGATATTGCTTGAATTGAAATGTTGTTTTGGAATGAACATAATATCGTTTAAATTTTAAGTTGTAAACATTTGTGGAAAAATATAAGGATTAAATTTATTTTATCCTTGTGGTTTAGAACTGAAGCATTTTATCCTTTATCGTTCAAATATAGTCAGAAAATCTTTATGTAATTTTGAACGAAAGTGCTAGTATTAATTTTTCGGGTAAATTATGTAAACAGTCCTTATAGTTTACACGATATGTCAATTTGGTTCCTGTAGTTTTAATTTGCTCAATTTTGCCCTTAATTTAACAGATTGTGTTATTTTAGTCTAATAAATAACAGTTGCTAAGTTAATTTAACGAAAGGTTAAAAAATGTGTCAATTTGGTCCCTGTACTTTACAGAATATGTCAATTTGGTCTCTGTAATTTCAATTTTTTCGATTTTGACAGGGACTAAATTGACACATTGTGAAAAATACAGGGACCAAATTGACACATTATTTGACTTTCCGTTAAATTAACTTAACAACCGTTATTTATTGGACTAAAATGACACAATCCGTTAAATTAAGAGGCAAAATCGAGCAAATTAAAATTACGAGAACCAAATTAACACATCGTGTAAACTACAGGAACTATTTACATAATTTTTCCTAATTTTTCCATGCAAACTAACAAAAAGTGTACTACACATTATTTTTAGAGCGGATTTTGTTTTGTGAAAAAATATAATGAAATTAATACAACAAAATAACTATTTTACCCTCATTTTCTCTAAACTTAAAATTAGATTAATATGTTAATTAAATTAAAATATAGTTAAGAATCGATCAAAATATAAAACATAATAATTAAAAATTGATTTAAATATAATGAAATAAAATAAATAATAATTAAGAATTGAATTAAATTTAGATTAATTCAATAAACTGGTGGAGTCTGACGTAACTATGGAAATTGCACATTCCTCCTAAATGGTCCACGCTCATTTGGAAATGTTTGCATAACTAGGTAGAGGAGTCCAATTAAATCCTAGCTATCCAAAGTGCTTTTCATCTGGTAGGGGTGTGCACGAGTCGAGTCGGTTCCTAGCTATCCAAAGTGCTTTTCATCTGGTAGGGGTGTGCACGAGTCGAGTCGGTTTGGGTTTGCTATTGGCCCGTCAGCTGAACCGAACCTCTCGGGTTCGAAAACTTCACACCCGTCCTGGATGGCCCACTCCTTCAAAATCGATCAAAACAAATCTTTGGTTTGGCGGTCAATGTGAAAGAACAATCAGTAGGAGTGGATGATGATTCGTACACAAACAGATCTAATATATGTCAAAATAGTTACAAGTCTAAGAGATCTTAACAAAATGTCTATTGATCTGAAAGAAATCAACTCCAATAGTTACATTTCTTTTTTTAAATAAAAAAAAAAATCGAAGTAGTTACAAATCTAATAGAGATGTACCAAAAAATTCTCTTCCCTCTACATGTCGGATGCTCTGCCTTTTACTTGTGTTCGTTAATGATGAATAGTGTCCGACGGTGACGAGTTTGACAATAATATCGGCGATATTATGGGTGTGTTTGGTTTGTATTTTGAAATATGTTTTTAGAAGAAAATTTTCAAAAACATATTTCAAAATTACTTATCTCTTTATTACACATCAATCAATCATTTTTTCTTTCTCATCTCTTTTTTTCAATCACTTTTTCTCTCACACATCTACTCTATTATAACAAAATATTATATCATTCCAAACTCCAAATAATTTTCAAAATATACAATCAAACAAACCAAAAAATTTTCTATACTCTCTTTTCAAAAAAAATTTAAAAATTTATTTCAAAACACAAACCAAACGACTTTAGTTAGTGGAAATACTCAAGAGATGAGAGATTGATGAGAGGAGACAGAACCATTGTAAGAGACTAGTGATGGAAAGAGAAGTTTCGTTAGGAAATTTGAGAAGAAATTTAGAAAGAAAATAAAAAATGTATGTGAAATATAAATAAAAAATATTGAAAAGAGATGATGATACATACATTTTATTTAGTTTTACATATTTTTTCTTATTCTTTTTTAAATCCCTTCCTAAATTTTTAACCAAACACCACATAAGTGAGAAAAAAAAACATTGAAAGAGATGGGAAAAAAAAAAAAAAAAACAGGAGAGGAAAAATCTCAAAAACAATGAATAATTGAAGGAGATGAAGAGAGATGCATTGAATGAATGAGAGAGAAAAAGACTGTGTGTTGGTGGATGAGGTAGAAGGATCACCAACATATGCCGCGTGGAAAGGTAGATATATGATTTATTTATATAAAATTCGGACAGGTCGGGTTTTCAATTTTGCAAACATTGTACCCACTACCCGAGCCGAAATGTGAACGGGTTGAGGTTTCAAAATTGCAGCAGACCTAAATCACCTTCGAAACCGTCCGTATGGCTAGTAGTTCGATCGGGTTAATCGGATTTTTACACGTTCCTAATCTCTGAAAACCATTGAACACCTATTTTTTTTAAGTGTGTGGACACACAATACATCTGGCGAGGATCATGGTTGGGGTTGGATTTTACACAAGGTGAACCACTTTCTTTTGAGGAGTGGTTTTCCAAATGGGTGGCAAGTATTAATGATGAGGATCTGATTGTGTTGTCAGCAATAATACTTTGACAAATATGGAAGCAAAGGGTCAAGATGATGCATACTCCCTTAAGGCCATGTTTGTTTGGCTGGACATGAGCTTGGGATTGGATTAATAGTCCAATAAAATTATTAATCCGATATTTGGTTAAACAATTGAAGTACGGACTAATTATTTTAAGCTTGACTATTAGTTAAGATATGATACATAATCCAACGGATTCGTAGTCCTAGGACTATTAGTCATGGAAATGTTAATCCAGTCCGCTCAAACAAACATGGCCTAAGAGTGTTGCAATCCATCCAATTATTGAAAGTTAATGGTTGTATTTTAGTCCAAAATTACGTGAGAACATATGAATATGTTTAAAAGACACTGAGATAAAGTGATATCAAGCCATATAATAAGGAGGTAAAATAAATTGTCCAAAATAAAAATTGAATTTGGAACTCACCATGTATATATATGTATCATGATCACATCCATTGTAGAACACATTACTTAGTGGTGGTAAAAATTTGGTTTAAGCTCAATCGACAGTGATTAATTAACAGACTTAAATAAATTTTAAAGAAGCACAAATAAAAATCAGGCTTTGTGATTGAGTTTTATGCCTTAAACAGATTAAGAACTTCTCTGAAGATTATCAAGTAAAGAAGAATTTGAATAGAAAAAAATATGTATTTATTTAATTAAATTGTCACTTGCTACCAGTTACAAGAACTCAAATAAGAACAAAGAAAAGAATAAACACAGCAATCGACAGAACTCAAACAAGAACAAAGAAAAGAATGAACATAGCAATCGATAGAAGGAAAGAAATGGGCGGGTTAAAAAACTATCACTTAATCTACTCCAAACAATTGCTAAATTAGACTACTCATAAATAAATATCACGAATTGTGAGTGATTGTGTATGAATCTTCTTCTCCGTATCCAGCTCTCTTTTATACTTGAGATGCCTAGCTTTCAATTCTAGTCTTTCTTGATTTTCTACCTCTTTGAATATCTATCCCAACATTCTAGAGACTGTTCTTTAAAATTTTGATTTCTCTTTTGATTCTCTGCAACCATCTTCCTTATACTTTAAAAAGAATTACACACCACATCCCCTCTTATTATGTCATGTCAGCAACTTGTGCCATATCAACCATCCTATCACGTCAGCATCCTACGGAAAGTTTCCAAATTTTAGAACCGACACTTAGGTGGAGAATTTCTCTACTTTTTGTTCATCCCTCTACTGTTATGTTCTTATCAAGTTTGGATGATGTGTCACCTCCTCTTCAGTGCTGATATAACGTGATAAAGAGCTAGGATTGTTGTTTTGCTTGATTTTATTATGGGTAAGGGCCTGTATTTTTGTAAGGTCATGAGCCTAAATTTGCAAGATGGATTGCCCTCTTTTTATTGTTCAAACCCGTGAGACGTTTATTTTGTGAGAACTTGAAAACTTAATTTGTGCGAACATTAATATTGTGTTTCGGATAATGAAATAACTTGACACTTGATTCAAGGACAACAGTTCAAATCTAAAATCTAACATTGTAAATATTTCAAAATTAAATTTGAAAGTTGTAGTGATAAATTCAAAATAATATAAAAAATAATTATTAGAAACCCTTGATGCTAAGGATTTTAATTTTACAAAGATCATAATAAAACACTTTAGGTTAATTACACTTAACACCCCTACACTTTCACAGTAATCTCCCTAGTCTTTTTAATTTTAATTGTGACAGTTAACCACATACACTCAAATCCTAATGTCACTCTTTTTTCCATATACCATTAATGAGATTTGACTAAAAAAAAAACCCAAAAAAAAGATCAAAATAAAAGTTTTAGTGAAGGTACAAAAACTATAGTGAGATTTTGATGAAAATGTAAAAATGCTAATGAGACTAGGAAAAAAAAAAAAAGTCACATTTCGCAATATCACAAGGTCTCCCAAGCTTATTAATGGTAGATGAATAGAGAGATGATATTGCAACTTGACTTAAAATATAAGAGATAGATTGTCACAATTAAAAGTGAAAGGAACCTACTGTAAAAGTGTAAAGGTGCTAACACAAATGCCTTCTACTATCTCTAATTTATCTTTGCCCTTTTTGTTTCTCAATCCACCTAATAAAGCTTAATCACCTAATTTCCTATATTTTTACAAAATTCAATCTCAAATTCCTTCATTTGAAAATCCATCCAAACCGAGGGGGTAAATTTAAACTTCTTTACCTACCCCGCCGCTGTTTTTACATGCAATATAAATAAATAAACAAAATTAATTTACACATAGCCTCTGAGAACTAGCCGGTTCCGCGAGTGCAAGTACTGACACTCATCTGTAACCTACAATCATGTCATAACCTACCCAAGAAATTCCTCCCATTGTTAACAGAACTTACATTTTTAAGAAGCAGAAGTAGAAGCAGAACCGCACTTTTGAGTAGAACCAGCTCTTCACAGAGCATGTATTTTTGCCTTGTGGATTCAATGGTTGTGTTGAAGTTGCAAAACAACACTGGCCCTGAAAATCTCTCATGCCAAAGTAAACTATTCCGTGACGAAGGAAGTAGAAAGTCTCATGTACAGAAAAAAGAACTAACTATTCCTCCTGCTGCTGCTGCAGGTCCTCTATTATTCGAGTTACAACACCAACGGCAACAGTTCTTCCTGATGCTCTGAGGAACACCCTCCCAAGAGCCCTACATGATGAGAACTCTTCTACACAAACCGCTTCTTCAAGAGCCACCTGAAATATCAGAATAACATGACAACCCATTATATCAACCAAAGTCTTTTATTAACCTGCAAAAATAATAACTAACAGTAAATAGTTGTCATTCATTCAACAAACCTCAACTACTGCACTCTGCTTCGCTAATAGACGTCGCGGTGCCTTCTTAACCGCCTTCCCAGTCTTTGGATCAAGCAATGACAATATCTTTACCACTCTAGCAGCCTCCTTCGCATGGTGTATGTGAAATTCTAACTGCTCGTTTCCACAACAAATAATAAGAACCCTTCATACAAAACAAACTTACAAATACCAACAAAGATAAATGTCATCCATGGATGAGACATTCATTACCTGACACCCGATTAAAATAGGGGTTGCAACATCCAGTATGAGAATCTTCAGTTCCAAATTCTTTGCAACTGCAACTGGAAAAACAGGGTGACACAGCACACCCCCAGCCATCACACTACTTCCGTCAATGCCAAGCAAACAAACTGCCACGTTGTCTCCAGCTCTTGCAATGGCACAAGCCTCAGAGTCACGTTCCAAGGAACGCACTGTGCCCATCTCCCCTGATGGCATAACTAGAACCTATGACACATATCAGTGGACAACTATTGTTATAGTGGAAGGACTTAGCTACTCAAGAGAAGCATAAACTTGTCCTTAGTAATGACATATGATTAATTGGTTCCATGGCATCGTTTTAAATCACAGTATCGAGACATGTAGCAGTAACAGTCACGGTGTAACAATATTGATACGTATCGAGAATTGGGTGATGCGGTCATGAATTTTAAAAATCATCAGCAACCATTCTAAAACTCAATAGTACACGTGTTTTCACTATTTTAATCTTGCCATGAAATATATCAATTTTAAATGAATAAATTTACGAATTGCTAAGAAATTACTATTTTTAAAATAATGTTAGTTTTCGTTCTAAACTAAATAGTTTATTAGGCAAGTCTACAATCCCACATTGGGAAATTAACATTCGAGGTCTATTTCATGTAGTGAGCAAAAATTAACCACATTAGTAAGAAAAAGTACTATGACAAGGGAGTCATATTCATATCGTACCCGTATCGGATGCCAATACTCCTCGGATGCTCGCAGATACATATCGGATACTTCTTAAGCGTATCCGATATTTGAAATTAATTTTCTTTAATTTTGAGAAGTATGGGTTATTTTTTGGATACTCCACCAAGTCACATATCTAAACTATTGTGAAATTGAGTTTGTAATAATTTTCGCGTACCATTAGCGTGTAATTGTTAGGATAAAGATACAACAATAATTTTTTAATACTTTGATTACTTGAAGAAGAAGAAAATAGTGAGATCACAATAGTACTCTACTTTTTAATGACTTATCCTTAATGTGCACGTGTACCGTATCCATGTCCATACTTTATAGAAAGTAAGAATAAATTAAAAATATAATATACTAAAATCAGATTTCAACAATTAAACAAGAATGAAAATTTTGCGTACAATATGTTTGTATATTTCACTTAAGTGTGAAAAAGACGAGCACAATAGCAATATAAATAGTTTAGGCTCTATATTTAAATGAAATTTTTACTAAGAGGAAAAAATAAAATAAAATAAAACAAAATGGCTACTAGCTCTTAATTAATACTTAATTTCAATAGAATGATTGACCACCATTCTTTGAGTTTATGTATAATACCGTACTAAAAATTATAATTTCTTTTAACAAACGTGTCCAAGTTGTACCTGTATCCACCTTTTTTAGGTTTTGTCGTATCACTGTATCTGTATCTATATCGTATCGCATCCGTATCTCATACCTGTATCTATGCTTCATAGTCAATATACAATAGTTCAAATTTTAGAGATATTATAATTGCGGAACTGGTTCAGTGCAATACACATCAATGGACTGGCTGGTTTGCATGTTATTTTAATCTAACCGCTAAACTGGTTTGTAGACCGACCAGTTCGCTACAAACCTTTGCCAGGCTGCTGCTTTAACTTTTTCAGATCTTTTTTCCCTTCCAATATAGCTCATCTTGGGAAATATCAATCACTAACCATTAAAACCAATCATCATAGTCACAAATACAAAAGAAGCAAAGTTCATTCAAACTGCTTTCGTAGAAGGGTATTGGATGGTGTAACATCTCACCTCACACCATTTCAAAAAGTGGAACAAGAAAATGACTAACAAGCCAATTAAATTGATTAGTCAACAACCTAAACCAACAAGAGGATTATGTACCTTAGATCCACTTCGAAGTGCTCCAGCCTCCAACTTCCCACATGCAGACACCTGCCCTTGTGTCTGCAATTTGATAACATCACATATGGGCATTAATAGAGGCTTTGAATAATCTCTAGCAGGTGGTTTGAGGGAATCTACTGCATCCAACAGAGGGGGTCCCTTGTACCTGCAATTGAAACATTTCAGTCAGGTTTCAGCCTCCATTATATAGCCCCCAAAAAATAAGAATTAAGGCAAGAGAATAAAAATAAAAAATAAATGAGAGAGAGAGAGCTACTTGAATTTCCTATGACAAATTTTGTAAAAACATAAACTTCCTACAAGCTATCAATGTCACCTTATAAAGTCAAACCTTTCCTTGTCAAAAATATAGTAGTTTATATAGTACCTACTAATTCTATTTTCTTCATATTACCACAATAGCATAAAACCAAACTGTCCTATTAACATTAGAGAGCATAAGAGAAAATATGAACAAGCACAAATAGCTTATTTTCTCATGTAAATAATTAGACCAAGAAAAACAGAATATACATGAAGGTGGAGAGAATAGAAAGAAATAAAATTAAAAGATATAATATGTGAAAAGTAAATTGATACAGCGCATTCTTCATAACTATCTCCAGATTTTTTCTTCTCTTTCCTATCTCTGAGGCACAAAAAAACACTTGCCTGCATGAACAATAAGCATCATGATCATATGCAAATATGCCAAGACCAAGTATTTCCACCTTGAATAAAACACAAGAAAGACAGTGGAAGCTATTCTGCACACAAAAGTCTGAATCGTAGGAAGTAGTCATTCACTGTATTCCATCTAATACTTTAAGCAACTAATAAACAGCGAAATCCAAGAACCAAAGTCCATACTGCTGATCATTCAGGACAATAAATGAGTGATTTCATCTATTATCACTGACCATTAGGTATGTTGGAGATCAAAGCACAATGTTAGCTAGTTTTCTAGCACACACGGGATCCTAATATACCGACAACTAGGGCTGTGCACAATATCACCAAAACCGCTATTACATATATATGCGTACACAAGTTCCAAACCACGTTTCCATACTCTCACACACTCACAATCAATTCTCAATTAAACCATAGCACTCCTAACATCTCGTCGTATTCAATAGATGGTAAACAACATTTGTCTCACCTCTTGCTCCTCCACCACGCCAATTGCCATCGCCATTGCCATCGCCATCGCTGTCGCCACTGGTAGCCTTGCCAGTCGCCGCCGCATCTTCTCTGCTTGTCGATTTGGTACATGATTTCTCTTTGCTCTTTTTCTGCCGTCTTTTTATCTTATTCTCTGTTTTGGGTATCTTTGTAGTGTTTTCTTACGAAATGGGTCTCTAGATTTGGACCTTTTGCTTCTTGATTTGGTGTTTCTGTGTTTTCTTGGACTGGAAAGAGGATATATATTTTCCCTTGTATTGGAATGCTTTGTAATGGGCTTTCAATCTTGTTCAAATCTGAGTTTTGTAATGGGTTTTCAAGAGATATATTCAAATCTAAGTTTTCAATCTTGTAACCAAAATTTCTGCATTTCTTATTTTCCTGCATTTCTTTTTTTTAATTATGAAAATTTCTTTCTTACTAAAATACTGAAGGGAATAAAATCTTCTCTTTTTTTCCCTTCATAAAAGCATGTGTAATATTCTGTTTTTTTAACTAAAATAAATGTCAAGATTCAAATCCATGCTTGTCCAGCTTGTATTTGCATTTCTTGTTCCTTTCATGTGTGTTTCAGACATCTATTTGCTCAGTCAGACAAGCAATGAGAATTGTTTGAAAGAGTTTAGTTATGAACATTCTATAAAAAAAGGTTCGAGTTTAGACAATGCAGTGCCTTCTACAAAAGTCAATGAATTGATATTTTGTCAGAGTTACTTTGTCAAGTTTATATTATATGTGGGATCAATCCAATGATAGATGCCGTGAAAATTTTGTTTAACTTGAATATTTGAAAGGTGAGGAGATATATTTTCAAAAGTCATTGAATATCTTGATTGTTGAAGCTGTTAATAAATTGTAATGATTATATAATGTTCTGTAACACCATTATTATTATAGGCAATGACATTTTTTTTGACTAATCATTTTCTGGTGTCTTGTATAATGAATTGTTTTATGAGGTGGGATTCCATGTTGAATAAATTTCATTGTTAATATTACAAGATGCATCATTTATTCATGCCTGTGTGTGAGTGTTTTGAACTTAATCTTCCTACCTAGATCAATCAGCTAGGAACTTTTATTTATCTATTTATTCTTTCATTCTTTTTTTCTTTTTTTTTTTCTACGTGCTGATATTTGCATCAAGTTGATACTGATTGGTGCTTCCCTTTGGCACCTAGAATAGGTAGACTTACAGAGAATTGAACATGCTGAGAATTACATCTCTTCTTGCCATTGAGGAATCTGAAACCTTTTTCTTCTAAGGTATGTTCTTAACTAAACTCTTTCAAACAATTTCGGTTGTAACATGAGAACAACCCTGTGTTTTTATTTATTCTTGTTTGTTATATCTTGTTTCATGAAAGTGTGACTTAACACTTAGGTGCCTTCTTTTTATTTTTTCCTTTGAAATATTTTTACTTATCATCATTGTAAATTTGTATTTTGTAATAGATCATGGACAAGGGAATTACAAGTGATGATTGCTTTGATGGTGGTGAAAACACTCCTGCACCAGTCCAAGTCCCAACCACATAATCAACTACAGTTGCTAGGTCTGCCACTACCACAATGCCTGCAAAAAATTCTGGTAAAACTCGTCCATGCCCTACTCTTAATTTAGATAAAAAGACATCTGTGATTTGGGAACACTTCACCTTGCTTGATGATTGTGATTCTAAAAAACCTAGGGCTGGTTGTAATTATTGTGCAAGGATTATGGTGCTCGTGGAAAACAAGATGGGAGTAATAATGTGGAACCACCTTAGATATCAATGTATGAAATCTCCTATTAAGAGAGTGGACAAAAAACAAAAGACTCCCTTTTGTTGAAAAAAGAAAAAAGGAGAGGGGACGAAACATGATGGTCCAAGGATTGGATCTCTCAAAGCAATGGGATATGATGAAAAAATTTGTAGGCAAGCACTAACAGAGATTATTATAATTGATGAATTACATTTTAGGCATGTGGAGAAGGTAAGGGTTTAGAAAATTTTGTCGAGTTATGCAACCTATGTTTACTGTCCCTTGTCGCACAACTATTGCTCGTGATTGTATGAAATTATTTCTTGATGAAAAGCAAAAATTGAATAAAGTTCTTAGGAAGCAACAAGTATGCCTAACCACTAACACTTGGACATCAATTCAAAATTTGAATTATGTGTGTTGCTGGCCATTGAATTGATAATGATTGGAACTTGCACAAAAGAATTCTTAGTTTTTGTATAAGTCCTAATCATAAGGATGAGACAATTGGCAAACAATTAGAGAAATGCTTAGAAGATTGGAGGATTGATAAGATCTTCACTATTACAGTTGATAATGCAAGTTCTAGTGATGGTGCTATCGCATATCGCATTTTTGAATAGAAGAACCAAAGATTGAGATTCCACTATATTGGCAAATGAGATTTTGCATATGAGATATTGTGCACACATTGTCAATTTAATTGTTTGTGATGGTTTAAAAGAACAAAATCACTCAATTGCCAATGTTCGAAAAGCTGTGAAATATGTTAAATCATCTCCACCTAGCTACGAACTTTTAAAAATTGTGTGGAGCATCAAAAGATTCCTTCTAAAAGTTTGCTATGCCTTGATGTTCCCACAAGATGGAATTTCACCTATTTGATGTTGGAGGTAGCCGAGAAATTCCAAAAAGCTTTTGAGTGTTTAGAAGAGGATGACCCACAATTCAAGTTATTTTTCGTGGAGAATGATGATGAAAATGAGAACGCAAATGAGAATGATGGTGGAAGAGGCAAAGGGAAAGGAAAAAGATTCATTTCATATCCTAAAGAGGATGATTGCGATGTAGCTAGAGTCATTGTGAAGTTTTAAGACTTTGTTATAATGTGACTTTACAACTTTCAGGCCATTTTATGTGACATCTAATGCTTTTTTTCATCAACTTGTATCGATGCAATCTAAATTAATTCAATTGAGTAGAAGTGGAGATGCATTATTGAGTAAAATAGCTGATAGCATGAAATTGAAATACGACTAATATTAGGAGAATCTTGATAATATCGATTTCTTATTATATATTGCCGTTGTGCTAGACCCTCGCAACAAGTTGACATATCTTAAGTTTTCATTCAATAAAATGTATGAAAATGACAAGGAAGAAAAGATAATAAAGAGGGTGAAGGAAACATTGGAGCGCTTATTTGAGCATTATGTTAAAAAAGACAATGTTGCTAATGTTGACCTTCAAATGCAAGTAAAGCTCCTGAAGTGATGGAAATTGATGAAGAGAAAGATCCCATGACACTCTTTACCTCTCAATATATTAGCCATTTGGAGGCAGAAAAAAGTGTGAAGAGCAAGTCAGAGTTGGAAAAGTATGTTGATGATTGTGTGGACCCGAGAGCTCCAAACTTTGATATTTTGAATTGGTGGAAGGTTAATGCTAATAAATATAAGGTTCTCTCTCTAATAGCAAGAGATATGTTGGCGTTCTAGTTTCTACAGTGGCCTCTGAGTCGGCCTTTAGTACCAGTAGACGTGTACTTGATCCATTTAGGAGTTCTTAGACTCCAAAGATGGTGAAGGCTCTAATTTGTGGACAAAATTGATTATGGTCTTCATCAATTCTAATCAACCTTAGAGAATGTATGGATGATGTTGAAAAATATGAAGAAATAGAGTCAGGTAGCTTTTCATATTTATATTTATTTTAAATTAATTATTCAATATTGATTTTAACTTTTATGTAATTTTGAATAACATTACAAATATTTTTTTATTTTTTAAAATTTTTTACATCATCTACTACACAAGAAGTAACTATTGTTGAGGACTAATTTGTCTCCAAGTTAGTTTGGTTTTGAAGTTCTTAATTCTTATTCTTAAATATTATTTTGTTGTGTTAGTGTTTTTTGTTAATTATTTATATTTTCTTTGGCCTAACAACATTGAGGTTATGAGTTCAAGTCACGGGGCAACCACTTTGTGCACTATGTCAAAGATCAGGTGTGTACCCAATCTTTCCCCTCGCAAACACACATTAATGTGTACTAATTGGGTGGCATTTATTTACATTTTCTTTGCTAATGTGTACAAATTAATGAAGTTTTGGAGTTTGATTGAAGCTATTGTGAAGGATTTTGAAGCTATTGTGAAATTTGATGATCATTTAAACTTTTGAGAACTATTTTTCAAAACTATGTTGGATGTTGTTGTTATATTAACTTTGTTTGTGGAGTTTGATGGTTAGATTAACTTTTAAGAACTATTTTTAGAATTATATGTTGGAAGTTATTTTTTGCCTTGTTAGATTGTTATTGTATAATTTGTTTGGATTGTCGGATTTTTAGTTTACTAGTTTCTCAATGTGTTAGATGAATGGATATCTATTTTAGTTAATTTAAAAATTATGTTTTTTTTTTTAATCTTTGGTTCACGTTTTGTAATTTGAATTATGTTTTTTTTTTTTTTTAAATAAATAGCCAATCCGCCTCAACCACCAAGTCAAAACCACAATTATTTGTCAACTGAACCATCGGTTTTTGATAAACAAAACAGCAATTTCTAATGTCAATTTTGTCAATCCACCACCCGTCGTGTGGTTTCTATTTTACCCCTAAACTGCACTGACCCGCACCCTGCACACCCCTACTGACAACTATGCGTCTGAACGTATTATCATCATCATTATCAGCTGCAAGCTGCCATCATAAAATTTTCTAGCAACCAAGAACAATCAACAGTCTAAACCCTGAAGTGTTCAAGTCTCAACAAGCTCAAGAAAATCTGCTAGATCAAGCTCAAAACAGCTATGCATCTGAATCCAAACTTGTTTATGCACCAAACTACAGAAAATTTTTGGAATCCTTGTGTGTTTTGATTCATATTACTATTTGAACAGCAATAGCAACTTCCCATTTGGATAGAAATTTATCATAAACAAAGGATGAAATTCTCCAACAGAACTGTGAGGACTTAAAAATGATGAATGCAGTATAACTAACCAGGACACCAATCGTGCATCAGAAGCAGCCTCCATCAAATTTTGGTTTTCAATAGCACTCAAAGGGACCCATGACAGAGTAGAATCCTTGAAACCACATGAGCGGAGAAATGTTCCAAGTTGCAGTTTAATTGTATCAAAACGTTCCTTGGAGTATTCCACAACATCCATTTTGTTAATTGCAACAATAACTTGATCAGCACCAAAACTTCTAATGAGTTGTGCATGCTCCCTTGTTTGCCCCCCAGTGCTGTCCATGCCTGCTTCAAATGAACCGATCGAGGCATCTATAACAAGAATTGCAGCATCCGCTTGTGTTGCCCCAGATATCATGTTTGGCACAAAGTCTTTATGGCCTGGAGAGTCAAGCAGCACAACGTGATACCTTTTGGAGTCAAAATAGGCAACTGCCACTGTCATTGTTATTCCCCTCTCCCTTTCTTCAGCACTCTCATCTAAAGCCCATGCAAAAGCAAAGGAGCCCTTTCCCTGATAGATTGACAAAGAACTCATAAATCCAACCAACCAAGCTTTAACAACACAAAAGCTCACATAAACAGAAATGTAGTGAAGTTACTTGTAGGTTAGCCTCCTTTTCATATTTGTGCATTTCCTTTTGGGATATTCGGCCCGAAAGGTACAGCAGCTTTCCCGACAGTGTTGATTTTCCAGAATCAACATGGCCGACCTAAGATGATAAATTAAAACATATGATATTTCAAACATGCTAAAAATAAATAAATAAATAAATAATTATAAAAGAGTTGACTGCATGAAAACAAACAATGTAACTTGTGGATGACCAATGTTAGATGGTTGACTTACAATGGCAAGATTCAGTTGTGTCAATCTATCTTCTGCATGGTCAGGTAGCATCCATTTCTCAGGTTTATATTGAGCATGTGACACAGCTCTTCTAGCACTGACATTCTTTGAGGATCCAGATTTGACAGTATTCAGACTACTTGAAAGACTTTGTGACTGAACCTCATTCGACAGAGAATGAGTATCCTCCCCTATGCTACCATGTCTGTTATCTGATATAAATGCTGAAGAGGTATCAAAGCTTTTAGCATCTGATCGCAATTCAACTGCAATTTTCTTCTCTGTGACACTTGAAGGGACATCCGAAGAAGATAATTTGTTGACGTTGGCTGCAACATTAACGTAGGATTGTAATACAAGGATGTTAAACTCTAAATGAGGAATATAACAACGAAAAAAACCAACCCAAGCATGGGGAGACTCCGAAAGAGGATAAAGAAAACACAAAATACCACAAACTGAAACATGCTTACAAGAAGGAAAGCATACATCAAAATCACCACAATTGAATAGAATTAGAATACAGTTTTTTCTATGACGAGGAACCCCTCCAAGGCTGGGTCATTTTTTACCCCCATCCCTATAGGCAAACCCCATTTTTTTTTTTTTTTTTGGGTGAATAACAAACCCTAATTCCTACAGGCTACAACCACCAACAATACAATAGAAATCATGTAAGACTAAAGTAATCAATGCTGATGAGCATAGACAAATAAAAGTTTATGAAGCACCTGACATCACAAGTTCATGTGTTCAAAAAAAAATTAAAAACTAAGGAGGGGGAGGGCTAGGAGAAGACAATTTTTGGAAGTTCACATAGAGCCCACTTTGAATGGTTATTAATTTGTTTAGGGTTAATTTGAGTCTCTTTCATGTATTTCACGAGTTAAAACATAGCTAGAAAGATTTTATAAGGTACCATTAGGTTTTGGTAGTGGGAGGCCTACCAGTTTTGAGGCTAGAGAATCCTCCAACTATGAAAGACAGCTTCATTTTGATGTCCCTTCGATGTTGACACAAAAAGAAGATGGGGGAGGAGGGCCTAAGGCACAAGGTGGTAAGTTCTCTTCTTGGAGGCCTCTTCAGCTCAACACTATCAGGGGGGGAGCTAATGACACGAACAAATGGAGATCATCAAGGAAAGGAGGGGGATTGTGCGACTTGTGGAGTACTTCCTCCTATGCCTTGGGGGTAGGGTTGTTGCTGAACATACTGATATTGGGGATAGGCATAAGCAAGAAGAGATGGTAGGAATGTGTCATTTGTTGGAGCTATGGGTGAAGGTGGGAGGCTTTGAGGTTTGGAAACTGAGGTAGCTAGAGGGATGTGGAAGGAGATAGGAGTTAGCTGCCGGTGAGTACAGTCCTAGGGAAGGGTGCTTGTGCTGACTATTCAGGGGGTGCAGGTGGGGGTTGGTGGAGCTATGTACTGTGGAGTGCTCAGACACAGGCAATGAGGATTTGGTGCCTTGAATCTTGCTCAGTGCACTTCTGTGGCAATTATAGGGCCGGAACAGGCATGGACAGATATAGAGTTGTTGGAGGAAGAGGCATCACAGGCTGAAAATCCAACAACCTACTCCTTCGAAATTCAAGTCAAAGCTCACCCTTTTTGGGTCTAGAAACCCTATAAGCCTTCTTCTACCTTTCAAAAGGCCTCGTTTGGAAACGGGCTAATTTAGTAACTTTTTGGCTATTTGGCTAAAAAGGTAGGTAAAAAAAACTTGTATGTTTGGGATGACTTTTTGGCTAATTACGAAAAGATGTGCAAAAAGTAGAGAGAAAAGAGAATCTTTGACTTTTTGGTATGAGTTGTTGGCTTTTTGGCTAATTTAGTAACTTTTTGGCTAATTGGCTAAAAAACTAAGTCCCCAAACGGGGCCTTAGAAGCTTTCCTAGACTTCAAATTCATCACAAAACCTAATTATAGGCATCATTAAGCAAGTTTTTTCAACTTTCCTACATCGGCTTCCCAGTGACCCATTCCATGCCATCACAATTCCTTAATGTTGTTTAAGGCACAAAATTCTAAAAAAATAATGACAATAAAATTCACAAATCGAAATTAAGGAACAGGGGCCATCTTCTCTTCCTCATAACTTATTGAGAGTAAACTTACAAGGAGCACGGACACGCAGCAGAGGAAAAAATAACAGAGAAAAAATAACTTGCTAACCACTAAAGACCAAATGTGGCCTCCACAAAACTCATGAATCAAGAAATAACAAAGTATTGAAATGTTTTATCACATCTCTTCAATTCTTAAGGCACTAAACTCTGACTGCTTTCATTATCTTCTTCACTGCAAAGTCAAATAAATCAACAAAAGAAAATGGGATGAAGAACCAAATAACATAGATTTCCTACTTCAAGCTGGCCACATGCCAAATTTTTATCTGGCCATTTGGGAAATAGTCAAATATATAACTATAGCATTAAAACACCAAATGCTATACCCTGGATGTTATCTGACTTCTAGGTCAAAATGAGAAAATGTGTGTCTTACTTCATTAAACTTTCTCTAAGTAAGCGGTACAAACACAAAGGGAGAGAGATCTTACAATATGGATATAGAAGACAGACACATTATGACATGGGACACACTGGCATAGGAAATCCCAAAACTAAGACACAAATATAGCAAGGACGCAACGTAATTTATTCTAAATTTCTATATTAAGAATTTTATGAAGTGGAAGGTGCAGCTCAAAAAGTTCATTTCAATTATTATGTATATTACTATTGCATTCTTACTATAATTTTGGTTTAACAATTGTGTTCCTACCTATATTCAATCATTAATTGGATGCTTGGCTTGTCATTACAACGTGTGAACTATCTAATTTTCAGAAAAGGAAAATAATATTGAACATTTAAGATTGTTTGGAGTTTGAGATGTGTTAGCAAAGTTTTCAAAGCAAAGTAATTTAATTTTGATGCATGGACATTTCCACAAGGTATCAGATGTGTGTCAACACTGTCCACAAGGTGTTGGTGTTTGACACGTGCACAACAATTGTGAAAGTGCATGAGTTCTCTCTAATTCCATATCATTGTAATTAGAGTTCGTTGAGCATTTAGCGACTGCTCAAAAGCCTTCATCCAAAAGCTATGCAACAATGTCACTGGTCCACTCACTGCTAACCAAGTAAAATGCCCACTCAACAATCATCATGAGAGTGCTTGACCCATTGCTGTATAACCACCAGGCACATCCCCAGGGGACAACAAACATTAATCTCACTATGGTGAATTGTAGAGGCTGGGGCCCCATAATTTCATGGAGATTCCACCTCTCTCCATTTGATGCCTTTCCATAAAAAGTGTAGGGGGAATAAATTCATCACCCCTAATACTTTTAAACCTCTAGATTCTACAGTACTTGGCAGGATGAAAAAGATGGAAAAAGGAGGTTGGGGCCAAGGGCTGTGCTAAACAAATTGAGAAACACTATATACATTACTCAGAAGCTGAGATAGTTCCGTCTAAGTAAGAAGCCAGCCACAAACTCAAGATTAAAACATTAAAATGATATACCTTTTGAACCCACTTTGGACGAACGCAATCCTTTTGATACCAAATCATCTGGAGATGGTACATCAAACTTGAAAGGCCCTGTATCATCAACAGAGGTAAGGTTAGAAAATGATTACAGAAAAAGACTAGATAAAATAGAGAAATTATGTACTTCTAGGTCATGAAACGTTCTTTAATATAAGCACATTGATATTTTATCTCTACATATCAGCATCCTGTGTCAGAATATGTGCAGACCTATATGTTTTCGTAAGCTAAAAGCCCTATGCAATTCATTAGAATGTCCTTGGATATTGCCAAGCTTACAGAAGCTATTGCACTCTTCCATCAAAAAATTGTCATTCCGTAGCTGAAAAGTTTCAGGCTTGTTAGGTATCAGGCGCGGCAATGATGCAAAAAGAGACCTGGCCATTATGGATGCTCCAGAATCTTTGCGCATGCCATCAACTGCATGAAAAAGATCTACTCTATAAAGGGCCCATGTACATGAGACGAAACCTATATTACAAGGATGCATCATGCAACTAAGGAGTCCACGCCTAAAATAGATGTGAGCTGCCTGTATTAAAAAAGTGGGTGGGAAATGAAACATGACTAACACATGTATTAATGTGATGTAACTGACACGGTGGAAAATGCAAAGAGAAGAGTGCCCGTCACATAAAATATAGAGAAGGGGCAATCCATGAAGCAGCTAACCTCACCAAATTTAAGAAACTATAAATCAAAATAGTGATAGAAAAGTAACAAGATAACTCCTACCTGTGTTCTTATTTCCATTGCTGCAAGCATTACCCAAAGGATTACGAAGAACCCCGCAAATATCACATGCAGACATACCCTCTTCATTATCAAATGTACAAATGGGGCAACGCCAAATGCCCAGCGTTATGTTTTCCTGTTTTGTCTCAGGTGCTTCAACTGTTGCAATGAAGTACCCATCAAGCAGTCAATATAAAAGATGCAAAACGCTTCACAAGCCAAAGAGCCTTTTTAGTGAGATAACTCAATAGATATATTGGCATGGATTTCGCACCTCATCATATCAACAGAACACTACTTCTCTACATGCAGCTAGGTTTCAAGCTATCTTTGTTGACATTGTTCCTCAAAACATAAAGTTTTAAGCTTAACAAAAAACAGTACAAACATATATTAAGTGACATTGATTTTAAAATAAAGAGCAAGAAGTTGTCATACATCAACTAAATGACAGAAACCAAATAACATTACGGAGAAATGGAGAGTGCAAACATGGTATTCAAGAGACAGAAGAACTGAAGAACATATCAATAAATGGATGGTCAAAGTGATGGTTTTCATGAATCAATTCCAAGCCCACATTTCCAGGATAATACAAAAGACCTTCCAGCCCATGTTTTAACACATGTAGTATTGATTCATGAACTTAGCTTACGGTGGTTTATTGTGGGTTAAATAAGCCAATAAGCTTCGCTTTTTAGCTGCCAAATGAAGCCTTAGAGCATCTCCAATGCTAATTGTTAAATCTGACATGCCATTGTCAAAATTTGGCGATGCTACATTACAAAAAAAGTCAAATTTTGACAAACTTGCTCCAATGCTACAAGTGCTATATTTTGGCACAACAACCTTTTTCTCCATATTTTCTCATTTTAACCACTATTTTAATTCATCTCATAAAATTGGACTGATTGAACACTATGAAATTGAACAATTGCTATTGGACGGTTGCTTTAAAAGAATTAAAAAAATAAAAATGAAGACTTATTTCTTCAAGTAGGAGCTTTGCTTAAGATAATCATAAAAAATAAATTTAAAAGAGAGAGAGAGAGAGAGAGAGAGAGACTATTACACTGTTACGTGCAAGAAGGATCTAGAACTCTTTGTCACATATTCTACCTATCTATTATCACACCAGCAATCAAAATAAAATTCGATTTATGGATTTACACCACATCCCAAATCTCCCATCCCATTGCCACAACTCATCCCTTTCCAATCCCTCATCCTTGGAACACCCTTCCAATCTCGCATAGATCTAAGAAATCAGTGTGGTTTGGCGATGGTCAATGGTTGACAGTGCAATGGTCAACGGTGGTCAATGGCAGTGATCCTCGATGATGGTGGTCCAGTGTTTGGCTGGTAAATGTGAGTACTCTCTCATTTTTTTCTCTCCTCTTTTTCCCTCTCTCAGGTTTGCAAGTATGAATACATGAATTATATATGTATACATATCTTCATATATATGTTTCTTTGTGTATGTCTATATATGTGTGCATAGTAAATATTGTGTTCCTCTTTTTTTTTTTTTTCCCCAAGACGAATAGATGAATAGTGATTGGTTGATGAGTTGGCAGATTACAAGATATAGCAATGCCAAAATTTGACAGCTTGAATGGCACTACATTGGAGCTCTGTTTTTCCAACAAATATGACTAGATATTAAACTTAAGAACCTAAAACAAATATAAAAATATTTTCCAAACCATAGTAACGATGTAATTTGCGTGAAGCCCAAAAGCGTTAGTGTTTGATGACCCCTTCTAAGTGCCAAAAACTAAAAACCTAAGCATGTTTGGTACAAAAGAATGGAATGAAGTGGGAATGAAATGAGAGTGAAAAATGGAATACAAGGTTGAATGAAATGGAATGTCTATTCTCATCCCATTGTTTGGTTGCCAACATGGAATAACATAGGAATATTATAATAATTTTCATTCTCATGCTTGGTTATGCCTATTAAACTAATGAAATGGAATAAGCTTTTATTTATTATTTATTTTTTTAATAAGCCAATAATACCAAACAAGTTAAAAATTCATATAGATCATGATAGTGTTGATAATTGTGGAAATGATGGAGTGAGTCATGGTAGTGGCGGCGGTGGCATTGGTGGTGGTGATAGAAGTGGTAATAGAATGATGGTATGGCAATAGGTCGTTGTGGCGGTGGTGGTGGTGATCATGGTAAGGTGGTGTTGTGGTGGCGATAGTAGTGGTGGTGGTGTGGTTTTTTGTGAAGGTAGTAGTAGTAGTGATAAGGTAGTGGTTATGGCAGCAAGAGGCAGTAGTAGTGATAGTGGTGGTGGTTGTGGCAGTCGTGGTGGTGGTAGTGGTTGCGGTTGTAGTGGTGGTGGTAGTAGTTGTGGTTGTAGTGGTAGTGGCAACAGCGATAGTAGGGTGGTCGTGGTATGGTGGTTGTGGATAGGTGTTATCACCTTCTACTTGAAGGCTGCAAGCTCGGCATTGGCAACACCTTGCGCCAATGTCCAGCCAAGGCAATGGCATGATGGTGGCATGCCAAAACAGCAAGGTGAAAAGTTGGCTAAGTGTTGAGGCAGCAGCACACAACCCTTGGCTAAAGTATGGGCAGCAGTTGCACAAATGCAAGGCATTAACATGACCCGAATGTGGGTTGCAGCATACTTGGCGGTTCAAAGCAATCAATAGGCAAAACTTGGTCTGGGGGCCAAGACAACCAAATTCGTGGCAGACTTGATAAGGCAAACAACATAGCAGTTATTGGCAGTTATGCTTGTCTGTTGGCAGCAGTTACCCATGTTGGGCAAAGACAAGGCAAGGCTAGAAATCAGGAACCAAGGCTTGAAGATAGCAGCAGTTAATAACAGTTATGTCCCAGAAATATTCCTAAGTCCCTAGGCAGTTGGGGGTGTCAACTGCCATGCCACTTGGCATGCTTTCCTTGTGATGCTGGTTATAAGTTTGTAACTGATTGTAAGCCTGTTTTAGGCATAGCCATGGAACTCAAAAATTAACTAAGTGTTTGTAAGAGTTGCCATAGGCCTCCTTTGTATTGTTGGTGCAATTAATAAAGATTGGAAATTTTCCTGCAATCTCTTATTGCCTATTCTCTTACTTGGTATAACGCTTTGTGTGTGTGTATTCATAATTGGCTGAGACTAAGTGTCCAACCTAGTTCCATTACAGGCTGGAAATTTGAAACAAAAATTGACCCTGTAACAATAGGGATGGAAAAATATCCCGATCCGCTGGGTCCCTAACTCTCCCCGACTATAATGGGATGGGTTCGAGGGTAGTTAAATAGGGTTTGGCACGGATTTGAGAAAACTTTTGAAAAACCTGATTGGATTCGGGTCGGGGGCGGGGAGAGTATTTTTCTACCTAAATCCTACCCAGCCCACAACAAATAAATAATAATATTATATATATAATGTGTAAAATACATTGTTGAATTTTTATAGAATATATTGTAAGTTTAGAAAAGAGAAAGATATAGGAAATGAGTGAGACCTCATCCCTTTTTATATTAATAATAAAGTATAATTACAGGAGTGCCATAAGGCATAAATTACGGGCCAGCCCGTTAAATCAATCAAGGAATTAAACAAATCATAATAAAATATATGAATATAATTTCCTTATTCTAACACTCCCCCTCAAGCTGATGCGAAGATATCTCTCATGCCCAACTTGTTGAGAATGTCATGAAATGGTTTGCTCCCCATTCCTTTGGTGAAACATGCTTGGTTCTGTCATGTTGAATTGGGTTATGAGCTATGTTGATCGCTGCCTTCTTGTCACAGTACAATCTCTTGGAATCGGTCTGATGGATCCCCAAATCTCCCAACAATAGTCTAATCCATAGCAACTCACATACACCTTATGCCATAATCCTGAATTCTACCTCAGCACTAGATCTAGCAACCACATTTTGTTTCCTACTTTGCCATGTGACAAAGGTTGCCACCAACAAATGTGCAATATCCAAAGGTTGATCGTCTATCAGTGACTGATCCAGCCCAATTCGCATCAGTAAATGCCTCCATAACGAGATGCCCATGTTTCGAGAAATAGAGACCCTTTACAAGAGAAGTCTTCAAGTACCTCAGAATTCTCATAACTACCTCTAGGTGGGAAGTTCTAGAAGCTTGCATAAATTGACTAACCATGCTTACTGCAATGGCAATGTTTGGACGCGAGTGGGATAAGTATATGAGCTTGCCCACCAGCCTCTAGTATCTCCCCTTGTCCACTGGCTCTCCCTCTTGATCCTCACTTAGTTTCTGGCCCGATTCTAAAGGTGTATGACATAGTCTACCCCGAGGCATCCCAGTTTCCTTTAGCAAGTCAAGTACATACTTCCTTCGGCATATGAAGATGCCATCCTTGGGCCGAGCTACTTCAATGCCCAAGAAATACTTCAAATTACCCAAGTCTTTGATTTCAAACTCCTTGACTAAGTATTCCTTCAACCGAGGGATCTTCTCAATATCATCCCCTGTCAAAACAATATCATCAACATAAACAATAAGAGCTGTGATCTTACCATGAGGAGGGTGTTTCACAAATAACGTGTGATCTGCTTGACTTTGCTTGAACCCATATATCAGCATAGCTCGAGCAAACCTTTCAAACCAAGCCCTAGGAAACTGTTTTAGCCCATAAAGTAACTTCCGGAGCCTGCACACTTTACCTTTGGACTTGGCATCCGCAAAACCAAGACGAATATCCATATAGACCTCTTCTTCGAGGTCTCCATGAAGAAAAGCATTCTTCACATCAAACTGATGAAGTGGCCAATCCGAATTTGCTGCAAGAGAGAGTAGTATTCTCACAGAATTTATCTTAGCAACCGGCGCAAATGTCTCCTGGTAATCTACCCCATAAGTCTGAGTGAAGCCCTTAGCAACTAGTCTTGCTTTGTACCATTCTATGGAACCGTCTGCTTTGTGTTTTACAATGTACCCCCACTTACACCCAACTGGATTTTTGCCTCTAGGTAACTCTACTAACTCCTAAGTGTTATTCTGACTGAGAGCTCTCATCTCCTGTTTCATGGCATGTTTCCATTCAGGAATAGAGAGAGCATCTTGAAAATTGTCAAGTAGACTCACAGAAGAAATCTTAGACAGAAGGGCCTTATATGAGGGGGACAGATTAGAATAAGAAACGTGATTAGTAATAGGATGATGAGTACATGACCTAACTCCCTTCCTATTAGTAATTGGAAAATCAATATCTGAAAACTCAAGGATAGAAGCATTAGAATTACCTGGACTCTCAAGAGAGGGTGTTGACTCTGGACACTCATCCGAAGAAGAAGTTGGCAGTAGAGGGAAGGAAGTAGTCTCTTGCATCTAGGTGACTTTCTGTCTATCCTTGTCTCTGACATAAACTTTGCTTGCTTCCTTTTCCACAACAACAGCAGACTTATCATCCTCTATCTGTTCAACCACTGGCGGTAGTGGAACGGGAATCTCATCACACCAAAGCCCCCCTGAAGGGATGACTGTGACACTAGGGAGGATAGAAAGTAAGACTGAGACTCAAAGAATCCATGGAGACGAACCATTTGCGAATGGGAAGATGATAACGCTTATAATCCTTTTGAGAATAACTGAGAACAACACACTTAAGAGACTTAGGATCCAATTTACCATGGTAAGGTGAAGGATTATGGACAAAACAAACACATCCAAAGGTCTTAGGTGGAATGGAGAACCCAGAAGAGGTGGACCTAGACAAAACTTGAAGAGGGGTTAGTTTTTGAAGGACTTGGGTAGGAAGACTAAGTTGCAGTGAGAACCGCTTCCCCCCAATAGGATCGAGGAACACGCATTTCAAAGGATAGACAACAGGCCAAATCAAGGAGGTGGCGATTTTTTCGTTCGGCAACATCATTTTGTTAAGGGGTGTTAGTGCAAGAAGTTTGATGAACAATGCCATGAGTTGTGAAATAACTGCAAGACCAGCGTCAATATATTCCCCAAACGCAAAATTTTGACAATCGCTCCAAACTGAGTGCACACCATTTTATGAAAGTTTTGAAATACAGAAAACACCTCACTGTTATCTTTCATCAGATATACCCAAGTGGCCCTAAAACAGTCATCTATGAAAGTAACAAACCATTTTTGACCTTTTAAAGACACAAAACGTGAGGGACCCCATACATCAGAATGAATCAAAGCAAATGGAATTGAACTTTTTTTAATAGGAGGAGCAAAAGAGGCTCTATGTTGTTTTCCAAGTTGACAAGGCACTAAAAATCAGACACATTATTTTTCTCAAAACCAAAAGGAAATAAATGCTTAAGTAGTAAAAAGGAGAGATGTCCTAAACGACGGTGCCACAACCAAAGGTCTTCCTTAGTAGATGGTAACTGAATAGATGAATGAGCCAGCTTGTCTGTCTGATCCAAAACGTAGAGATCATGTTCCACTCTTACCACTTTCAATCCTCTTCCTCATAATAAGATTCTGAAAAAAACAATGATCAGGAAAAAACATCACGCTACAATCCAATTCATGAGTTATATGACTCGAAGATAAAAGATTAACACTAAAATAGGAAACATGGAGGACAGGGGATAAAAGAAGGGAAGAGATGGCATGAATTAAACATTTCCCTGACACAGACAAAATGGTACCATCAACAATACACACTTTTTCCTGACTTGAGAAGGGGTTATACTCTAACAAATGAGATGAACCAGGCACATGGTCGAAAGCACCAGAATCAATACTCCATGACACAGTTTTTTAAAATAGCAATGCACATGAGGATGAAGAAAAGTTACCTGAATTGGCAAAGGAAGAAGAGGATGCGCATGTGGTGGAAGTGGAGGCTCGACGGTCTAGCAAGTGGCCAAGAACAATCTCAAAATATGAGGCAAATAACCCCGAAACATCAGCAGCAAGTGAGACAACTTGAGATGAAGATGATGGCTCAACAGTGTCTGAAATATGTGCCCGAGCATTGGCCCCTCGGCCTCTAGACTGACCAAACCTACCCCCTCGAGTACCAGGACGATCTCCTGAACCACCAGAAGGAGTCCCATGTAGCTTCCAACAAGTCTCTCTTATGTGTCAAGGTCTACGACAGTAGTCACGGAAAAGATTATCCTTCTCAGAGGAAGAACGAGAACCACGAGTCACACGTTCTCCATCGCAAGGGGTGCAAAAACCAAGGCCGAGCAATCAATAGTGGCAGAAGGAAGCATCGCAAAATGGCGATTCTTCTCATTCTGCACAAAAGCGAAGGCTTCCTAGAGCAAAGGAAGCACGTATATGCCAAGTACTCTACTCTGAATTGGATCATACTCCACATTGAGGCCTTCCAAGAACTTGAAGACCCACTCTTGTGCCACAAACTTCCCGTAACCAGCAAAATCAGTGGGACAAACAGGCTTGTAATCCTGAAGCTGATCAAGATGCTTCTACCCATTGCTAAGGTAAAATACTAGAGAATAGTCATCTCACCTGATACCGACCTTTCAATAGAGCGACGTAACTCAAAAGCCTATGAGAAGTTTCCCTTCCTGGAATAAGTAGTAGCTACAACCTCCCAAATATCTTAGGTAGTGTCCATAGACAAGTAGCCCTCTCCAATCTCGGGTACCATAGAATGTATCAACCAACCCATGCTGAGAGAGTTGGTGATCTCCTACTGGTCATAACTAGGATCCGTGGTACTGGGTGTCTATATCCTTCCATCAACATACCCCATCCTCCCTCTGCTCTTCAAAAAGATAGTCAGACTCTGCGACCAGGCTAGATAATTCTGACCATTGAATAGAGAGGTGGTGGTTTTTAGGCCAGAGTTGAGGTTATCAGTCATAGTAAGAGATATAATGGAACTCTTGCTCTTAGGTGGCTGAGAAGTAGTGAACTTACTAAGGGAACCTGCCCTGGATACTCTCCTATGTAACTTTTAAACACAATGCCAATTACAAACCCGAAAGATAATAGTGGAATGAAAGACACAACTACCACTATGAAAGCATAACAAACTAGGAATTCATAAAGATTTTTTTTTTTTTTTTAAGAGAAAAAAAACAGAGAAAAAGTTTTTATAGATGTATGTACCACAACAAGAGCTCAATCCATTCGTTAGACACCAGTCGACCAACCAAGAGACAAAGAAGCTAGTGGGTTGAACCACGGGTTGACTGGAAGTGGTCTACTTTGGCCCTGTTTGGTAGAGCTATGGGAAAGTACTTATAGCTTATGCCTAAACAGCTTATAGCTTATAACTATGAACATAAGCTGATTTCTGACTTATAAATTAAGCATCTCCTGCCCCACTCAAAGAATAAGCTGATTTCTGACTTCCAAAAAGTTATAAGCTATAAGCTATAAGCTAAACCAAACACATCAAAATAGCTTAAATTAAGCTGAAAGCTGAGATAAGCAACTTTTAAGCTGCACCAAATAGGCACAAAGCCTCCAAGAGTGCCGATAGACCTATAAGGACAGGCTAGGGCAGCCAACAGGCCTAGAGGAGGGTAGAGGAGGCTTCAGCTGCCCTGGTAGAGAGCCGACTGACCTTCGGCTAAGCTAGGTGGGGGGTCGACTGTCCCAGACAAGGGTTTGGGTGGCCTAGTCAGTCTAGGGTTTGGGTTTGGATGGCTTTCGGTGGAAGCAAGGTGGCTGTGATTTGTGTTAGGTTTCTCCTATTGTGGCTCTGATATTGGAATGGAAACGCCTATTCTAACTTTATATTCCCTTGCCCTTGTTTGGTACAACTTGTCTAAGTGGGAGTAGTCATTCCAATGGAATGGCTATGCCAATAAAATATTGGAATGTCTCTATTCCATTACATCATAGAATCACTATAAAAATTATCAATTAGCTACCACCACCATTTCCTTTTGCTACCACCCCCTTCCACCACCGCTATGACCATCGCCAACCACGACCACCACCCTATTGCCATCACAACCACTACCACCACAACCACAACCACTGCATTATAATCACCACCACCACCACCACCACAACAACCATCACCACCTCCACCATCGTACAAAATGTGCTCTAATAATGGTTTGTTGTTGGTAGCAAATCCAAAATTTCATAACGACATTGAATAATAATACCACATTTAAGTTGAATATATAACATGCCTTCTTCATAGCAAAGTGATCAAGCACGTCCCAACTATGAAGCACTAACACTCCAAAATAAGTTTCATAGCAATGTCAGACACAGGGACACAACTAGGACACGGGAGTGCACCACACAACATGTCCCTTTATCTAATTAATTTGTTTGCAAGGGACACATCAGGGACACACTAACTAGTTTTCTCCCCCTCTTCTTTAGTGCTTTTGATGGATGTTTGATATTGAATGTTTATTATTTTTTGCTTAGATTTAAATTATTAATAGATCATTCACAAAAATGACATAAACGATGAGTTACCTTAAGAGTGAGTTTTTCTTATTATATTGACATAAACTCTGCCGAGATAGTTTGACAACTCCGTCAGTCCCAAGCCCGAGCAAAGGAGGAGGGTTGTGTGTTAGGTAGCCGATAGCCAACACGTAAAAAAGGCTACCCGGATCCCTTATGAAAATGAATCCTACTTTGAATCAATTAGGTCGTTCCCCTTAAATGATGTGTTACGCCTACCTTATAGTGTTTCGAAAAGTGAGCAAGGGGCATCGCATCGACACCTAGGTGCGGTGAAAAATGAGCAAAGGTTTCTGCGTTTTTATGGACGAGCACGGATAAAGAAGCTAGTCCAAAATTATACATTTAGAGTAGCCACAGGGAATGTAAGAACTTAAATTAGTAAGACTATGGAATTAGTAGATCCCATGATTAGGAGGAGAGTTAGTATAGCTCGCATACAAGAAACTAAGTGGATGGATGAGAAAGCTAGATAAGTAAATGATATCGGTTTTAAACTATATTATAATAGTAAGGATAGAAACAGAAATAGGATAGGAATAATAGTTGTCAAGGGTCTTGTAGAAAATATAGTTGCAATCATTAGGAAGGGTGATAGAATTATATTAGTTAAACTAGTTATTGTAGAGAATATTGAAATTATTAGTGCATATACGCCCCCCCAAGTAGGATTAGATGATCAGACTACAAGAGATTTTTAGGGCCAAATGGATAAGGTATTACAGGAGAGAACCTACCTATAGGTGGAGATTTCAACAGTCATGTAGGAATCAATAAACTAGGTTATTGCATGGTGGGTATGGTTTTGGTGATAGAAATGAGGCTAGAGAGAGTATTTTAGATTTTGTGTTGGCTTTTGATCTGATGGTGGCCAATACTACTTATTCTAAGTTATTTTATTCAAACTTATAATTAGTTTCGTGTGTCTAGTCGATGGACACGCATGTCCTTCAAGTGTCCGAAGAGTGTCTAAGTTTTAAATTCTTTATAAAAAATCAAGACACTTTTGGATGAGTGTCGGACACGTGTCGGGAGAGTGTCTGATAAGTGTCGGTGTCCGACATGGACACGACACGGATACGCCACCTTTTTAGAAGTGTCCGTGCTTCTTAGGTGCATACGCCCCCCAAGTAGGATTAGATGATCAGACTACAAGAGATTTTTAGCGCCAAATGGATAAGGTATTATAGGAGAGAACCTACCTATAGGTGGAGATTTCAACAGTCATGTAGGAATCAATAAACTAGGTTATTGCATGGTGGGTATGGTTTTGGTGATAGAAATGAGGCTAGAAAGAGTATTTTAGATTTTGTGTTGGCTTTTGATCTGATGGTGGCCAATACTATATATAAGAAGAGAGAGGAGCATTTGATAACCTTTAAGAGTGGATCAATTAGGAGCCAAATAGATTACTTTCAAATAAGAAATGTAGACCGTCTAAAATGCAGTGGCTGTAAGGTGATTCCTGGAGAGAACATGACGTCTTAACATAAGATTTTGATATTGGATTTATGCTTTAAAGGGCAATACCAAGCTAGGAATAAAGTATAAATATTTAAGAATAGAATGGATACAGAAGATACTTGAGACTTGGAAGATGATGCTAACACTATATGGAACTCGATGGCCAATTGTATGAGGAGAATCTCAAGAGAAGTCCTTAGAGAATCGAAAGGAAAGGGACCCAACTCTAAGGAAACTTAGTGATGGAGAGAGGAGATTCAAGTAGTAGTAAAGACGAAAAAATAGTGCTTTAAAAAGTAGTAAAAGAATAGAATTAAAAAAAAAAAACCTTAAGAGCTACAGATTGGCTAATAAGGAAGTCAAAAAAGTAGTGAG